TGAGAATACAATCACTCACTGGTGTGTTCACATTTGTTGTTTATGGACTTCGACATACGAAATAGTTGGTCATGTTTTTGGGCATTTTATATAATTGAAATTCTGTAGATTATATTGATTTCGAGCGTCGAGGGCTCTGAAATGATTGTGTTACTGAAGACTGTTCGTCAGATTCAATATCTAAACAATACGCGTCAAAAGCTCGGCCTTTTCCTGAAGCGGCCGACTTGACAAATTACTCAGAAGGCAGATGCAGCTAATCGGACTTGTATGTCGGCGACGTTATGTTGATCGATGTTTGAAAAATTAAGCGTCGGACACATGCTCTCATCATCTATATCATTGTCCCATTGCCTAGTGCTAATCTCTAGAGTACGTGCCAGAATAGCCTGGGGCTTTTAGTGACTCGTATAATCTCTTCGATTTCGTCCTAATAGCCACCGCTATCGATAATGCATCTCAGCCGTATTGTTAGGGGCGTATGTGGGATATATTGTTTAATACTAACACCAATATTTTTGCTAGTATTAGGTACATTTTCATAAACCCGGCGCATTGCCATGTTTCGACTGCCACATTTTGGCTAATTGGAGCCAAATAATCATTAAGAGTTCAGTAGTTAGTTATACGTATTATGTATTCGAGCGAAGCGGAGCTTTTTCCGTCTCAGAGCTCCACGCTCTCTGTCTACACCTCAATCCGTATAATCCGCCTGATTGATTGCCAGTCCTGGCAATCAATACTATTCACCTGTCTGTGATCGCATTCATCATTGACGACGAGCAACTGACAACTTCATGTAACGGCATCTGAGAATGAAGCGTTATTTCTTTGCCGAACTGGAGTTTTTCTAAATCAAGTTATTATAACAATCATCATGACATCACAAACATTTTGGGGACTACCGTTTTGGTTGCCAGCTGCTTATGTCTATAATCAGCGGCAACTGTACTGGTATTAAAGCAATCGTGCCTTGTACAACATAAACATGCATACGCCTATATTGTGTCAGTATTGCGTTTATCTGTTTTGGCTTTATCTAGAAATAAAATTAAATTCTACATACGAAGAAATCGCACCGCTGCCTGAAGGACCGGTCCGATTACTTGGCCCAACGGTGGGCAGCGAGGCTTGGTTTATTTTTTTATTGGTCCTTTGAAACATAGTGATATAAAAATCTCCAACAGCGTCATACATTATCGTATTCTAAGTTGTCAACAACCGAACAAGCGGTTTAAAGTCCTATGGCGTATGTAGATTTTTCGAGCGCCACAAACCGTCGGTAGGAAGCTCAAAACCGTTCTCGATATCAAGCAGAGCGCTTGTTGGAATTGTTAGAATGGTTGACAAAAACGCAAGACGGAGGATAAGCGAGTCACATGTTTAAATGTCAGCGCCACTATGCGGACGTGTTCCCCCCGCCATTGGCGATGACGACAACAGTGGCAGCAGCGTCAAAGGCACATACAACCGTACATACACCCTATCCAGAACTCATCGACTTGCACTAGAATCCACGTGTAAATCAACGTGTATAAAATACCGTATTGGCAGGCACAGACGGATCTAGATTACAAGAAACGCCCATACACGTATAGCCGCAATGGATGATGAAACCCGCTAATGGCAAAGTTTTGAGATAAACAGACAGCTACCAGGCGGCAGGAATATAAAATGCCAACTTCACAAGCGTACTTTTGCCTGGCAGACAAAATAGCCTATTTACTTCCACTGTGAATTTTAAGAACACCGACCCCTTTTTCTTTCATAATATTCATGAAGTACATAGAAATGTCTTGCCACATTATTGTCCGTTTGGATAAATTAAGTGATCAGTTGTTTCTAATTCAGTGGCGTCCAGCTACCGCTACAGCGCATATAATGTTTAACGATAAGTTCGCATTCCTTTTATTAGAGAGCATTACACTTTTAAGGTATAAAATCGGAAAATTCTATTGGAAAACAAACGAAATAAGATAATAGTTCAGACCGTCACAACTTTATTTAGTATGTAACATAAGATACCTACGTAGCTCCTGTTAACAATTCAGACACTAATAAAAACGATAAAAAAACTAAACGCGAGCCGGATATATGGTGATCACTAGTCTTGTCATATCTTTTTAGATGAACGATTTTTTTAAACAGAACTGGAAGCTGATCCCTGAAAGGCAATCTTTCGCACCCATATAAATACAGAAATTGACCTATTTGCGTACGAGCGACTGCTTCTTCAATCCATAATAAATCCGTAATTATTTTTCCTCTGTATTAAAAGGGACACAGACTATACCTACCAACTTGATGCGGTATTTCAACACGGACCGACTAAATCATGGGGAGAATACAGAATCTGCCAGGTAGTGACCTCATCGTCACCAAATGAAAATCTCTCGAGTGAGGACAGCTGCAGCTCTACTACTTCGCTGCATAGAACTTTTTCACCCAAACGTAATGCATATAACTCACACTTCCCTTTCTTTCCTACTTTCTTTTGAGTCAGAGTAATCCCTCCTAGCCCGCTTTATTCCTCAGTAGCGCTGCCTGGAAGAACATCTCGTTTTTTCGGATTTCCCTCAATGCACTCCACCAGTTATGTGCCATTCAAACCCCCATGCTATCTCTTTAAGCCGAGTCTTCACACGTTAACGCTGGCTGTCCCGCTTTTCAAAGGCATCATACATTACTTCCGTTCAATCAGTCCGCGATGAAAGTGGCTTTGTCCATAATTGAGGCAGGTAGCTAGAGATACCGTGGATGCCAATTGAAGCTTTAAACGTTCTTCCTATTTCCTGTTCTGCGAAGCTAGCTTGTCCTGGACAAAAAAGCGAGAAAATTGGACGGTCAGTGGTTTCGAGCCTTACCGATAATGTCGACTGATACAACTGCTTAGAGCAATTGGTACACCGTTAGTTGTATCACTTCGAAATTCATCCAGATAGATATCAGCGAAAAATCGTAGCCAGTGCGATTTGAGCAGCGGCCCGAACCGTTGTTAATTCGATGATGTCTCTTACCATGTAGGAGCCAGTGAAAGAGCCGGATGAACATTTACAAGTACCTAGTTAAGGTTCATAGGTTCTGCTGAAATGAAGCAACACTTTTTTCAACACCTTTTGATTAATAGTAACTAGCTGCATTTAGAAAAAAGAACAGGTTGGACATTGTGGCTTTGTTTTCGAATTGAACCGAATTTCGTTCCTCTCTACTGCTCACCCCCTGTTTTGTGATCCCCTGTCACCCGACAGATAAGCGGTATAAGTACTCTTTGTAAACGAGAGTCTGTTCTGATTAGTTAAATTTATTACTACTGACTCTGTTCACGTATGCGTGCGTGCGTGCGTACGTACGTACGGGTACTCAAATGTGTATGACAATGGTATAACGTATAGCCATTAATTACACTGGTAAACAGCTCAATGGCCAGTTAAGCTGGCGAAAGGAGGTCCTCTCAGCGTCGGAAAACTATCCAACTAGTGGCACAGGTTGTGCTTTATTTCTTCCAGTGGTGAGAGCGGCCACAGGACGAATGCGCTGGTGTGATACCCGCGCCCGCACACAACAGGGAAAGACAAGTCTTGTTCCTTTCGATAGGACGGACGTAAAGCAAAGCCGACGTACTGTTTCTTATAAAGTATTGGTTTAAAGTTGTTGTGAAGTATTGAAGCTTTATTGAGATCACCGGATGCAAGGACATGCCCTTTGGGCGAAATTGACGACAGGAAATTGAGGCGGCCGCTCATACAATACGGGTCGCTCACCCTATGTGACACATAAATAGAACGATAACCACGGCACAACAACTCTTAAGACTAATAATGCTAGTATAATAATCAATGTCAATCTAATGCACTTGACGATACAATATTTAGTAGTAAGGAACCAGCTGATGAGCTGTCAGAGAATCAGAATCCAAGTAAATCGCACACGGCATATAAGGGGCACATGTAACGAGCACACCGAAATAAAGATGATAAAAGCTTAAAAGAAAGATAAATCGAATCTCCAACAGTCACCAGTTTAGAATACGGTTATCATATTGAATAAATGTCTATATTTTTTCTTAGCAGTTTCTCGTTCAGCATTCTCAGATGTCTGATTCAATCAATATAATGGCCGTAATCGGGATTGGTGACGGTACGACTACGTTATCTTGGTAAAATGCCTACTATTTACAAAATATGTAATACAAAACGGCAAATTTTTTAAAATACGGTTATTTTAATAATAATCATAAGTGCCAGTGTTTCTATTTTTCCACCTGAATAAGCAAATTCAATAGCTTATTTCATTAATTAGTGATCCATGAAAAAGCACTGGGAAGTAGAAACGTCAGCGTCCAGAGTAGTCTCGAATATATCGTACGTTATTAAACATCTCTAGGTACACAGATGGTTTACATAACCACTATTCTGATTAATTCTAAATTTTCCGTTATTTTATCGTCTGCTAATACATTCTATAAATATTGTAACATAAATGCTGTTGTTTCTCAGTAGAATATTTGTCACCTTTATCACATTTTGAATCTAGTCCCTATTTAGGGTGTGGATACGTTCACGGAATTGGTTCATAAACAGTGAAAGTGTTCACTTATATTTCTTGATTATGTCAATATACAGATAAAGTTGTTACTGCGATAATATTTATCTATGAGGAAGTCGAGTAAGATAAAGAGACGTAATCGTACTTATCTGCAACTGTACATTGGTCTGATCATGGAAATCGCGTCGCAATCTTTCACCAATCACTATGGGTAACTTCGAAGCATAACTTCATATCACTCTTACCAAACATCCCGGCTGCTTTGTGGCATTATGACCTCTTTCTAAAAGTTTATACGACAGCAAGCATTTGTTTAGGCTGTTGAGCGAGGTGGACCGACCCATCATCCGCTCAACCAGTTATAACCTCGCTTAACTTATGATAAAGAAAACTATTTCGGCCTGCATGTGCGATTCGAATCAGAGACTTAAACAGGACTACTTTAGTATACTTACCTGCTTATCGTCGTCGTCCGCTAAATACCATTCCAATGGATGTCCGTTAACCAGAAATGTGTATCTGCAAACTTGTTTCGTTCAACAGTACTTTTTCCACATTTAGACATCTATTAGGATAGCTCATTTGTCTCTATTGACAAGTTCACAAATTGATACAATCATCTTTGTATCTCTCAGCCAGTGACTAACGAAACGTTGATGGCGATCATACAGGGCCTTTTTTTCCTTTCGTTGCGGCCTCTCGCGGTCCAAAATATGAACCTTGCTCTTGATCCACTACGGCTTGTAATCCAAGTGAATAGTTGGTGTTAATCTACACACAATGTAATCGATTTACACCCGACACGACAGGCTGAAATTAACTGCGAACAAATGAAAAAAGCAAGTCGACGTTTTCTCACACACCGAACAGATAGACTTCGTTAACTTGTTTTACTACGCAACTTACCCCCAAGAAGTTGCGCAGAAGAAAATTGACAATGAACTGTTTGAAGCAACGAATTATCATCGTCAACCGGACAAATGTAGGACGAGGGGAAGGCAGCAGGGGCTGGCGAGAAAATTCAGCACACGGAATACGAGAAAAATTCAAACGATTCCAAGAGACTGAAGATAGAACACTTCGCCTCATCAATTTCAACAGAGCCTCAACCTACGCCTTTGGTGCTTTGAAAAGATCTTTTTTACACTTGTTGGTCATCGTCGTTTGTCTCACACATCTGTTAGCTTGCTAAACGCTGATGTTGTTTTTCTCTAGTTGCCACTATTAAATACAGGTACTGTTATTCTTAGAATATTATTGTTGGCTAGGATAGTAACTGACACGTGTACTTTTTCTCAAAGCAGTGCACATTGCTGCACTGCTCCGGCTGTTTTATCATCAGAGCCGTCTATTTCGGATGTCACCAACAGTTTGTTCCCCTAGCGATCCGGAGAATTCACCTATCAACATCCGGTGGTTCCTCTCGAACTACCTCAAGCCAAACAAGGGACAAACCAACAACACCGGCTAAATCGCTCTTTACCAAGGAAACCCCAGAACGGTACGCGCGCACGGCAATCTCTGAGGATGCGGCACCCGTGGTCTCGCGGGGAGAGGGAACCTATACCCAAGAAGCTGGTCGTTGAGAGAGTCCGGCAGTGGAGAGGACAGCCGGAACGCCAGGCGGCGGAGGCTCAGCGTGTCAGGTAGTGCTTTCGTGGACGCGCGGACTGGTGTTCGCTCGCTAGCGACTCACCAGCTAGAAGAGGGAAATGAGAGAGGGAATGGGATGCGACGTGCAGAGCCATTGCGTTGGAAGGCACGCGAGGATAGATGGATATACAAAACGACAGTAGCAGGGCCAGTAGTTGAGACGACGGTAAAGACCATCCTAACGTCAAAAGGAGCTGGCCTTAGAAAAAGAAACGGCAGCGTGTATAGAATCAACCTACAAAGTTAGGCTGTTTAATCGGACGTTGTAGTAGGGCGACGCAGCGGTCGCGTAGGGACAGGATGAAGACGAGGATTTGGCGTTATCCTGGTACTACGACTACTGCCCCCACTGTTCTTTACAAGTGGCGGTACCTCGTTCGCGGCTGAAAAAGCAGAAGCAGCGTTAGCAGCAAAGGCGACAGCACCCCCAGGAGTAGTTGGCATCGGGCGCCTCTTTAGCGGTCCTCTCCTCTTCCGATACTCGTCGGTCCCCAAGTACCTCCACAGATGTCGGCCGTCTGCGTAAGCGTCCGCCTGAAACCGGTGCGACGTGGTGCCTGTCTAACTGCTAACAAATCACCGCAGAAAGGGCAGATCAGTGCTCCAGATGAGGACCAGTAGGAAAACTGTAAGGGAAGAAAAGGAGTCCCGGTTGTTGGACGTTACGTTTTTGTCGCTAAGTCCACCACTACGACTCCCTTGCGGGCGGACGCTACGGGGACCTCAGTGACGCTAGCCCGTTTATTCGAAAGCATCGCAACCACGACGCGGCCTACCGGCAACCTACACTCTATAATCTAACCTGTTTTGATGACAGCGTGGGTTGCTACTAAACTCGTTAATTAACGAAGTAACGCGCAGGCAACCCATGGGAGCAAACGTACATATGTACATAGGATTCGCAGCATGAGATGGAAGAAACCGCGGCAGGTGTACGCAGTACGATGAGAAGCACACGTGCTGCAAAGATGCAATGTCCGATAGCAGTTAACTATGGAAAAACGCGTGAAAGACGAGATATGTCTATTGGTGAATAGACAATACATACTTTCCGTCGATGTAAACTCGAGCCCAACATTAAGTGTCCAGTACGGAGGACACGATTGTAAAGGACGATACGCAAGCAAGAAGCAGAGTTCGCAGTATATCTATAGAAACATGAGACTTTGCTTGCTTGAAGCCAATCAACCTTAGTAATTAGGTCATGTAATGCGTTGTGTCGGAATGTCATCAAAAACGACTTTTAGATTAGTAAACGTCAAACGTAAAACGTAAAAAAAAGGGACGGTTTCTGCCGCCTACATAGAATTTATTAGATAATTCGTAGAATCAAAATAGCATGTTAACATGTAACTTGGCTTTATGGCAGGAACTATTTTACATATACTTCAAACACAGACATCATCATACATGGCAACACACATAGTAAATAAAGCTGGATAGATAATGGCGTTTCCCAGTATTATATTATACCTTGACACTGATTTGACCTGCAGCCTCAAATCGTACGATCAAGTGAGGTTTTATTCTTCGCGTATTTGTATCGGTGGTATTGCAAGTGCTATATCAGGGCGACATTAGAATTCATTAGTCTGGCAGGAACAAAATATCCAGCTTTTCCTTTCAATCCAGTGTAATCTACAGTCAACTACTCTACCCCACCCCCTGTAAAAACACTTGAAACGACCCCCTACGACATTTTAAACTCGTCCGCCTTTCACTACCCGATGGTAACCACGCTATTTACATTCCCTAATTCAATTAGACGACTCATAGCATTGCCTCCATGTGCTTTATGAGCTAAGTCATTCCTCTAGCCAAACAACTGGAGCTGGAGAGTTCCATTGCTGCCAACTCTGTATTAGTTAGGGATAGAAAATGCAGAGCTGTTTTTATGGTGTGTATTATTTTCACGCAGGAAATATGATTGACAAAATATGAAAAATATAAACCTTTCAACATACTCGATATATGTATATATATGGAGATGCGTCAACATTCATAAAGAATATTTGCCCATTTCACTGCGAAGTGATAGCGCTCTAGCGCTCGATTCTAAAGGACAAATATCGTGTAGAAACGTGTGCACCATGCTTACGTAATTAACGACTGCTCGTAATTAGTATATCCTACCATGCCAAAGCTTGCTCTCATATCCAAGAACTTGTGTTTGAACACTCTTAAGTAAAATACACTTACAGATTAAATCCAAATAGACTAAACGATGCGTTATATA